TTGCTAAAAACTTACGAAATAAAAATTTTTTAGTACTAAATCTTTGTGTACATGTACAAGTAATTTTTTATCACCAGAGGAGTTAGGCAGAGGAACAAGATAGATTCTTTTCTTTTCTTTTCTTTCCCCTCCCCTCCCCTTCCCTCCCCTCCTTTTTTTTTTTTTGGACACATCTTGTTGTATACTGCAGGCTGGCCTCAGACTTACAGCAGTCCTCCTCTCTCTGCTTCCCAGAGTGCTAGATTGCAGGCATGCACTACCATGCCTGGTTAGATAGGGTCATTCTTATTTAGTCTTTTCTGTGCTTCTAAATTTGTGGATGCCCTGAAGCCTAAATGCGGTTCAGTAAGTTTCACATATCCTGTAAAAGTTTCTCATCCAAACAAAATATACCATCATAAACATTTTGTTTCTTCTTAAATTTAATTTAATTTTGCTTATTTATTTTTTAAGAATTAAATTTATTGGTGCATTTTAGATATACATACTGATGGCATTCATCATAGAGAATTTGTACCTGTACATGATATATTTTGACGATTCTTTTTTCCCCTTTACCTCCCATCCTTTCAGCCTCTCTTCCCTTCCTTATATACAAAAACTTTGTTTCCATTTTTTTCCTTCTATTCTTTCTTTTTCCTTTTCTGTTCTTTCCCTTCCCTCCTCCCTAGTTCCCCTTCCTATTTGAATATTTTCTTCCTACTTCACCATACTATACTTTTGGTCCTTATTTACACGATCATTTTCTCACATCAGAGAAACTGCTATAATTGAACGTATGTTTCCAGTTTATTTCACTTAAGAGTGAGGTGTCAGGTATATCCATTTACCTAGAAATGTCTCACATTTATTCTTCTTGATGGCAGAGTAGTAGTCCATCCACATCTTTTTTATCCATTCATCAGTTGATAGGCATTTGGGCTGTTTCCAAAATCTAGCTATTACAAACTGTGCTTCTGTAAATATGGATATGCATATATTGCTGTGGTATGATGCTTTTAATTCTTCAGGGAAGATACCAAGAAGGTGAATAACTGGGATGAATGGAACCTCTAGTTTTAGTTTTTCGAGGAATCTCCGTGCTGATTTCCACAGTGGTTGTATCAGACTACAGTCCTACCAACAGTGGAGAAGGGTTCCTTTTTCCTCATAGCCCCACCAGCATTTGTTATTGGTTGATACTTTTTTTTTGAGGCAGGGTGTTGCTACACAGTCCAGGCTGGCCTTGAACTCACTGTGTAGCTTAGGCTGGGCTTGAACTTGTGGCAATCCTCTGACCTCAGCCTTTGGAGTATTGGGATTACAGGCGTGCATCACCATACCTGCCTGGTTGATTTCTTGATAATAGCCAACAGTGAGATGGAATCGCAGGGTTGTTTTAATTTGCATCTTTCAAATGACAAATGATGTTGAATTTTTTTTCATATATTTATTTGTCACTTTTATTTCTTCATCTGAGAAGTGTATATTCATTTCAGATGCTCATTTTTAGATTGGGTCTTTACATTTGGGGTATCTGAGTTTTTTGAGTTCTTTATGTATTCTAGATGTTATTCCTTTGCAAAACAGCTGGCAAAAAATTTTTCCCACACTGTGGGTTGTCCCTTCACTCTGTTGGTGGATTCTTTTGCTGTGCAAAAGCTTTTTAATAAGATGAGATCCCGGTTGTTGATTATTTGTGATTATTTCCTGTGTGATTGGGGTTTTGTTCATAAAGTCTTTGCCTACACCAATGTCTTTAAGAGCTCTATGTATTCTCTTTTCGAGCAGATTTAATGTTTCTGTTTTAATATTTAGATCTTTGATCCATTTCAAGTTTAGTGGTGAGAGACATGGTCTAATTGTAGTCTTTGGCTTGTGGAAAGCCAGTTTTTCCAGCACCATTTATTAAAGAGGCTATCTTTCTTCCACTGAAGGTATTTGGCCTCTTTTTCAAAGATAAGGTGACTGAGTATGTTGTGTTGTTTGTGCATCTCTTAATCTGTTCCACTGACTCTGGTTCCTCATGTAATCAAAACCAAAGCCATCAAAAAAGTGTATTTTCCAGGTGGCGTAATTACAGATAATTGAGGAAGTTGACAGTACAGAAACACATGGTTTGATTTCCTGGTGAAAATAGAGGCTTTTTACAAAGCAGTGACTCTTATCCGGGTTATACAATCTTGGTATTGTAAGCACATTATCTCCATATCATTTGTCATATGAGAATACTTTCCCTCTTCATAGTTTATTTTTCTTTGTAACACTTTTGAACTTCAGAGTCTTTTATATTTGGCTCTCCATAAACAGGCAGGATCTCTGTAAGAGTCTCCATTTTGAGAAACTGTTCATTCTTGTTTATGATGTCAAGACTTGTTATCATGATACATTTTCTCCATGTAGCATCTGATAATTGACTGCCCTTTATTAAACAGCAGAGGTGAAGTACCTTCTAAAGACTTTTTTAGAAATCTAGGTGTTGCTTGGAGCCCTTTCCAGTGTCTGTACATATGCCATTCTTTGAATTGAGGACCAAACCAGATTATTTTGTTTGAATTTTGACAATGTATTACTTACTCCTTGAGGTAAACATTTGGGGTTACACAGTTCTCATCCTTGTTTAAAACTTTTTTTGTCTGAGATGTCTTGGCCTTACAGTAGCACATTGGCCGACCTCTGGCCTTTGAAGTTGGCATAGTCTAGTATAGCTACCTCAGGGATGTGTGGCATGGGAAAGCATGTTTTTGTTGTCAAGTGTTCTTGTTTTCCAGTAATTTTATTTTCTGCCGAAGGGATTTAGTATCAGTTCAGATGCTCATTTTTGGATTGGGTCTTTACATTTGGGGTGTCTGAGTTTTTTGAGTTCTTTATATATTACAGATGTTATTCCTTTGAGAAAGGAATAACAGTTCAGGTAACTTTCTTCTTAGAGGCCACATATGTAATGACTTGACCTCTAATCTTAGCTTTGAAATTTGCCCATACTCTTAATACACATGATGTCTGAAGACCTATTATTTGAGGCTAGTACTAATTGACTGGCCATCAGTGTTGTTATGAAATGTATATTTTACTTTGAGAATTATTTCCATGGCTGAAAGTTTAAAATTGTGCATGTGATGACATAATTTGGTGACTCTTGGACCTTGTTTTGTAATGCCTTCTGCATTGTGTCACTGAGATAGTGCAGTTTCAAACAACTCTTCTCAAATGCTAGCATGACTTAATTCTGAGAAAAATATTCTGTGCACTGTAATCTTATCTGAAATACTACCTGTCTCTTGAATCTAGTAGATGAGAATGTTTTAGACATAAAGGATTCTAGAGGAAATGAACCAGTATTTATCACTGTTTCTAATGGGCAGTCTTCCCCAGCCCCCCCCACC